CCAGCCCCACAAGAAAAGCCCGGACAACCGGACAAGTAATAAGGAAGGGAGCCCACTGGCAGACTCATACAACACGGCTGGAGGAACAGGCTCGAATGCCTCTGTCACTACCCAGAAGGGAAATTCGCCGAGACCGCCCGAGCCTCAAGACCATCAAAGCCTCGCCCCGACCCAAAATCCACAAATGGTAAGGATCCGGATGCAGGAAGGGACCAAACTAGACCACAACAGGGAAAAGACATGGGGGCATGGAAGGAAACAAAACCGAAGCGACCGACACCTCCAAGCCCCGTCACACCAACCTAAGCGGGGCAGCCTCGGAGCTACCGGGGAGCAAACAACCTAGCGCGTTGCCACCACCGAAACTTAACGTGCAACGCCCGTGCTGCCTGCACCCACATAGTCAGCATAAGACTGGGTAATCGAGCCACAAACAAGCAACAAAACTCGCAGGGCTCTGGGTCGAAGGTGCCACCGACCCCACAGGCAGCAGACGGAGGCAAAACAGTAAGAGTCACTCTGAGACAAAGGGACAGAGCAACCCTCGAACTCGCACAAAGCGAGGGGGGACTCCAGGGGTCACATCCATCGGACCCACACGTTCCCATGGTGATTCCCAGTGCCCTGAGCGTTTACCAATAGGGACTCACGCCCAGATAATCCCAGGCAGGGTACTGTTAACTGGCGCCCAAGTCTACCAAGCAACTTTATAAGAACTGAACCCCCAGGACGTGTACACTCACGGGGACCAAGCAGGGGAACCACTGAAGAAGAAGAAGAGTACGCAGAACACAGGGGGCAAGAACCAAGGCAGACCCCACACCAGGCAGACAAACATAAAGAAAAAGAAAACCCCCGCAAGAAGACAACGCACCCAGGCGGAACAGAGGCGGCCGCTATAATTGGTGAAAGCAAGCTGTGCACTACCCTGTGCCCCTACCAGTGCAAACTACCCCCTACCCCAAGGCGAACAAGGGAGACAGAACACTCGAGCACACAATGGGCAGCCGAAAACTAAGCAGTAAACGACCTAGCAGAGGCAGAACCCAAGGAACTTGTGAAAGGTAACCCCAAGCCCCAAGGGCAGTATTTACAGGGCACTTAGGGAAGGAAACCCTAGGCGCATGCAGCCCGAGTACTGGAAAATCACTCCCGGCTCACACAACACCTAGAAGACAGTCACCACACTCTAGGTACAGTGCTGAAACAATCACCAGAGCCAGAGCAACAGAGCAACTCAGCCTCTAGCAACAGCCTTAGAACTGACGAGTGGATAGCCGGCGTGAGGGGGTCTGGGGCTCCCCCTTTTCCCTCCCAGGGAGGGGGGAACGGCATTGACAGCGGCGTGGCGATGTGTGATGTCATGATCGAAATGATTCATGATAATTGTCATGATTCAAAATGTTAAAAAATTTGTTAAAATTCTATTTATTGTGCTATTATTATGGGATTAGTTTTAAAATGCGCACCTTTAGATTGCAAACAATTTGATACCAAAATGAAATATGTAACATGAAACTTTATGTCAGAATACTAGAAGGATGTAAATAATTTGGTGATGATGAGCGTCCAAAATTAAAATATTTGTTAAAATTCCAGTTTTTGCTCTATTATTATGAGACTAGTTTTAAAATACGCGCCTTTATATTGCAAACAATTTGATACAAAAACGAGCGACGTAACATGAAAATTGATGTTATAAAACTGAACGAGTATACACATTACGTTGTGGTGTGCAAATTGGTGCTTGTTCACGGGTAACTTTAGGCTTTGCTGCGGGAAGTCTCGCCAGGCTTTTGGACATTATATGCATATACACCTGCAGGGAATTTAATTGCGAACACAATGATACCAAAACGAATGACGTAGCACAAGAATTAAGGTGAGAAAACTGAAACAAGTACAGTGGCACCTCAATTTAAGATTGCCCCTACTTACGATAATTTCGAGTTACGATGTAAATTTGATCGAAAAATTTGACTCGACATCCGATATTTGTTGGTATACGTTCGGGTCGACCGAGCGCGTGGTTCCCGGTCACGCGTCCGACCTGCCTCAGTTTACTACAGCTGCCCGCTTAGTGACGATCACGCCTATAAGAAATTCCGCGTTTGTAGTGATTTTTTGCATTTTGAACATTAACCCTTTAACTGCGCAACGTGCCTGCAGGCCCAGGCTTAGGGTGCGCAACACGCCCCCCCCCCGGGTGTTTTTATTTTTCACGTTCCATTCAAAACTCCCGCGGCTACATGGGGTTCACATCAGCTTCCTCAGGAGTCTTGTAAACAGACGCCATCTTAAAAAAAATCATGGTCCACATTGCCGGGTGTCAGAGCCTCAGTAGTGAGTGAGCAACAAAGGCTGGTGCTCGCAACATGAGCGCACAGCACTGCTGTTCAGCGTGTGACCACAGCATTGCCTAATATTGTCAAAATATATATATAATCTGTTTTATTTAGCCATGATAGTATTATAGAAGAGCCCGAGTGTGATAATGACTGGGTACAATGTTCAAATATCAGTGATTCAATGCTGTTCACGATGTTCACAGCGTTAGCCACAACACCACAGCATTATTTCGTCCATCTAGGAATCTTCAAACGACTTTTTAGGTTCCTTTTCAAAATAAACTTGTGGTCAATTATTCATTTACAGGTATTAGTGACCAGGATTGTGGTTATAATGAGCATTGTGCATAGGAAGGAGGAATTTTGGTGAGGGAGGGAGGGAGAGAATTGAGGTAGCCTCACTGTGTGGCAGTAACTCTTGTTTTGCTAACCATACTAGCTTCGTGGTTCGCTATGGGGAACACACATGTACATGGGTATATACAGTGTGTGTGAGTAGTGTAATAACAACACCAGGAGTATGTTGTGAGGAGCTATTTTGGTGAGGGAGGTGACGTCGTAATCGTGGCGTCGTCTGCTGTGTGATTTGTCATGCAGTGTATGGTGGCCACTGTACTGTTTGGACACAATACCGGCTTACTTGCATAGTTCTGGTAAATAAAACATGTAGATAGGTATATATAACATGTGTAAATTGTGTAATAAATACAATAACAGTATGGTGGGAGGAGCAATGTTGGCGAGTAAGATGTTGGAGTGAGGGAGGGCTGGCTGGGTGTGGCTGCTCACACTCGCGGTGTTCTGAATGTGTTGATGGTGAATGTATATAGTGTGTGACAGTGTATAGTCTGTACAGTACATAGATTGTATATATACATAAATTAGCATGATTCATGGTAAATATGTGCAACATATGTGTACACAAGTGACATGCACGTAACACAGTGTCTTCGAACAGTACGGATGTTTTACTGCCATAATATAGTGTACGTGTTCATTATACATAGGATTAGCATGTAAAAACAAATCAAATGTATTTGGAACTGTGCGCAAAAATATATTCGCGGCAACTCGCGCGCCCCGCCCCGGGCTCCCCACTGGCCCCGGGTGCATACTGCTCTGGCGCACGGGGAATTATAACGTCACGGCCCACCTTTTGGACCCCATAGCAGCCAAAGCAAGTACAATTTCGAACTTGCGTTGCTATACCCATATACAGGGAGGGGTTTTTGACACTTTCCGAGGAAAAAATAATTTTTTCCCAAGGTTTCATTTCCTGCGCACTGGGGGGATGTCATATTTATAGGCCGCACAGTTAAAGGGTTAAAGTAATTATTATATATCACGCCATGAGTCCCAGGAAAGTCAGTGGTAAGGCTCAACATATGAAAACCCATGTAAGGATGACCATAGAACAGAAACAAGAGTACAGAATGTCTCTTCCTCAACAATCAAGAAAATGTGTGCAGCATGGGAAGAATTGCAAACCTTTGCTAAAACGACTCACCCAAATCAAGCTGCAGTAGGCCGTTGCCTTAACCTATTCAATGACACTGTGATACATCATTACAGACAAGTGTTAAAATGAAGGGAAAAACAAATGTCTCTTTGACAAATTTGTAGTGAGACAAACAAGCACTGAACCACAACCAGGTCCTAGTGGTATGCAGGCAAAACATGCCAGGGAGTGCACACCAGAAAGATCCTCACTGCCTGATATTATAATGGAAGGGGACTTCCCTTCCAAACAGTAACAACTCTCCTCCCCCCCTCATCACCATCTTCCATACGCAATCAAGAGCCCTCCATTAAGGTAAGATCAACTTAGGTACTGTATTGTAGTTAGAAAAAAACATTGTATTCAGTATAAAGTGTATTTGTATGTTAATATTTTGGAGGGTGGGGAACGGATTAATTCAAATTCCTTTATTTCCTATGGGAAAAATCGCTTCGACTTAGAATATTTCGAGTTACAATCTGTCTCTGAGAACGGATTAGCATCGTAAGTCGAGGCCCCATTGTATGCACATTTCAGTGTTGCCGCGCGCTTGCCCGAACGCCAGGGGCATGACCTCTAAGTTGGCGGCGCGCATGCCGTAGTCGCGAAAGTGTTAAACATGGCGTCTGTTTACAAGAGCCCTGAGGAATCTGATGTGAACCTCGTGTAGCTGCGGGCCATTTTAATCGTGCCTGGCACCCAATGTCGTGTGTATATATATATATATATATATATATATATATATATATATATATATATATATATATATATATATATATATATATATATATATATACACACACACACATATGCCATGCACACAGTGAGACATGTTACTAAGGGTGTATATATACACCATGTGCAATGTAAGGGTTAAAGCCTACAGTGTCCAGAACAAGGCATCACAGATTCACATTCCACAAAAGTTCTCTTTTGTGAACAGTACTGTGGATGCTTGGAACAATTTAAATGAGGTGGTGAGTGCCAAAACCATCAGCAGGTTCAAAGAGTCAAATGACAAAGATTATAAGGAAGATGGAACCTAATGAGCATAACTCTAATCCTATAAATACATATAGGTAATTCACAAACACAAATGCACTATACATACACAGTGTATTTATATATAATATATATATATATATATATATTACCTCTTCAAGTGTAGTCATAGAGATACCATAACTTTCAATGCCAATGTTTTTGTCAGCAACAGTGACATTCTGGTCAAGTTGTTTGAAAAGGATTGGAAATTGATGAGCAGAATTAGAAGGCAGAATGAAGGCTAGTTCTTTCCCATAATAGCGTGCCATCTGGACTTGAGGGACAACTGCCTCCAGTGATTTGAGTATCACATCTGTGTCAGCATCTTCAGCAACTACCAGCCTGTAAAAATGTAAACTAATAGAATTTAAGGTTTTTATACATCTAATTCATGGTGAAAAGAAATCTACAAAACATATTCTTTTCATACACACACACACAAGCTGCAAGGAACCTCCAGAGACACCCCCAGAAAAGGGCATTTCATTACATTCAATGCCCTTTTAACCCCTAAGCTGCTCTTGACTATTTGGCCTTTAACACCCAGAGGCGCAAGAAAAACAAATTAAAAAAAAACAGCGTTGAATGTAATGAAACGCCATTTTCTGGGTGAGTCCCGGAGGCTCCCCGGAGCTATCCCAGGCTGATATGCTAATGTCAGACTTTGGCATCAGTCATGTGTATGGAGTTCTTAGGCCTACCGGGGACCACGGCCAGAACCGGGCCCCCTTAGAGAGGCAAGGGGAGCAATGGCCTATAGAAGCCCCCGTGTGGTTGGAAGCATTCTATGTCTGCCATCGACCGGAACAGTCACCCAGAAAGGTAAGCGCCTCAAAACAAACACCTATTCTGGTTAAAATTGCTACCAAAAGCGGAACTAGTGGATAGAACTCCCCCAAAAGAAAACAAGCAAACTAGTGTGACGTCACACGCCGCTGCGCCATTGTCTGCGCAGCTTCCCCCTTCCCGGGAGGGGGAAGAGGGAGTCCCACACCCTCCACGCCGGCTACCCACACCTCAGTTCTTGAGGCTGGATGTCAAAAACACGAAAGAAACGCCGACTGGAGGGAGGGAGGGATGCCGGGGAGCCTCCGGGACTCGCCCAGAAAATGGTGTTTCATTACATTCAACACTGGTTTTCTGGGGGGAGCCCCGTCGGGTCCCCGGAGCTAACTACCCACAGACGGAAAAAGAGGGACTTACCCGGGAGGCGGTCGTCGCACACTCCTCAACTCGAACCCGAGACAACTGGCTGCAACCGCCGACCCAAAGCAACACAGGCCCGACGGGGCTCAGGGACATTCACAAGGTAATGAGCAGCCAGGACCCTGTTCGACCATCAAAATCCCCGCGCCCGAATATCAGACCAAGACATATTCCCAAAGATGGCAGCAAGAGCCGCGAACTTACGAACGTCATGGGCACGGGGATAGACCGCAGGCTGAATCCCAGGCAGGGTACTGCTAACCAGCGCCCAAAGCTACCAAATAACTTTCTAAGAACTGAACCCCCGGGACCTGTACACTCACGGGGAACTAGCAGGGGGAACCACCAGAACAATACTCAGAACACATGGGACACAGTGAGCAAGAACGAAGGCAGACCCCCCCACCATGTAGAGAAACAAAAAGAAAACCCCACAAGAGGACAGCGTACCCAAGAGGAACAGAGCTGCGCAGCACCCTGTGCCCCACCAGTGCAAAAATGCCCCTTACCCTAAGGCGAACATGAGAGACAGAACACCCGAGCACACAAAGAGCGACCGAAAACCAAGCAGTAAACGGCCTAGCAGGAGCAGAACCCAAGGAACTTATGGAAGGTGGCCCCAAGCCCCAAGGGCAGTACTTATAGGGCACCTAGGGAAGGGAACCCTAGGCGCATGCAGCCCAAGTACTGGAGACTCACTCCCGGCTCACGCACCACCTAGAAGACAAACACCACACTCCAGGTACAGTGCTGAAACAACTATTGGAGCCGGAGCACACAACCGGTGCCTATAGCATCAGCCGAAGAACTGATGGGTGGATAGCCGGCGTGAGAGGTCTGGGGCTCCCCCTTCACCCTCCCGGGGAGGGGGGAGCTGCGCAGACAGCGGCGCAGTGACGTCACACGTCACTGCGTCTGATACTAGTTTGCTTGTTTTCTGTTGGGGTGTTCTATCCACTTGTTCGGCTTTTGGTAGCAATTTTAACCAGAATAGGGTTTGTTTTGGAATGCTTACCTTTCTGAATGCTTGACCCGGTCAATGGCAGACACAGAATGCTTCCAACCACACGGGGGTTTCTATAGGCCATTGCTCCCCTTGCCTCTCTGAGGGGGCCAGGTTCTGGCCGTGGTCCCCGGTAGGCCCTAGAACTCCATACACATGACTGATGCCAAAGTTTGACATTAGTATATCAGCCTGGTAAAGCTCCGGGGAGCCGACGGGGCTCCCCCCAGAAAAGGGGCGTTGACAGATCCTTTGCCAGGCGAGGTCTACTTCGCTCGAGCTTTCAGGCGGCAGTTGCCACAAATATATTATTACCTAATTATTTCAATGTCTCTGATTGGTTTTTTCTTAGTTTTTTGCAATAATATTATTCAATACAGTAAATTGTGATATATTTATATAATAAAATGTGTGAACCATCGCTGTACTCAAAATTATGGTGTGCATATTAGTGATTCAATTATTATGTTCATAAAACAATAAACAAATAGTTTTGCTGTTATGACACTATATACACACAGGTTATATATAAGTATCTGCATGTTTTGTTCACCATAACGAACCACTAAGTTGGTATTGTGAGTTAAAATGCAACGAGGAGTGACCGCCACACACCAGCCAGCCACTCGCCGCCACTCCCTCCCTCAACAACACCTCACTTGCCCTCATTCTCCTCCCACAATACTGTTTTTGCATTTATTCACTATACACAGATGTTATATATAAGTACAGTGGTACCTCGCATAACGATCGCCCCAAAAGACGAACATTTTGGGTAACGAACGGCCCGATCGGCGTCAAATCGTCCTGTATGACGAACGCTGGTTTGAGTAACGTCAAAACCACATGGTGGGGTCGCGCTGCTTCTTGCACATTCTTAGACGCCTCCGACGATGCACATAAATTATGTTGTTCTTGTTTAAAGATGCTAATGATGCTGGGATATAAAAGGGTGACTGACTGCTGAGATGTTGCAAAGCATTGACGTTTTTGTAGGAGAAAAGAAATGAAATGTCTGCTATACAACAAATGTCAAAAAGGTTTGTTCGGTGTTTGGCAGGTAGGCTGCTCCATTAAAACAATCTTTCTTTGTTTCAAATGTGTTCCATTTGTTTTGCATTTGTCATTTACGTCTCAAAAATGGAGAAGCCTACCTTACATACACTGAATAAACCATTATGACATTTTCCTTTCTTCAAATGTGTTCAATATTTATTTTTCATTTGTCTTATAGCAAAAGGTTCATTCGATGGTCGGCAGGTAGGCTGCTCCATGTTTCTTACATACAAAAAACGTAAATAATAAAAAAATGAAGAATTTTAAAAACCAGTACAAATGTCAAAAAAGTTCGTTCGGTGGTCTACAGGTCGGCTGCTCCATGTTTCTTAACTAAAAAAAAAAAAAAAACAAAAAATAAAAGAACTGTTGAAACAATTTGAAAATTGGACAAATGCCATAAAGGTTCGTTTAGTGTGTCGAGTAGGCTGCTCCATTATTGAGACGTAAGTGACAAATACAAAACAAATGGAACACATTTGAAACAAAGAAAGATTGTCATAATGGAGCAGCCTACCCAACAAGCACTGAACGAACCTTTTGCTATAACGAATATGAAAGACAAGGGCTGCTGGCTGGGTTAGTACTGAGTGAGCAACCATTTGTAGCACACATGCCTCTGGCTCTCAAACACCTGTCCCACACGGTGTTGAAAGACTGTGCTCAGTCGGTGCAATTCAGACCCTATTGTTTGAAGAACATAAGGGTCATAACATTAGTGAAGCTAGGCGCAATAAGGGCTTAACACAACGGTCGGATGCCAGTGATACAGCACCTATGAGGATGATACAGCGAGCGTATCCAGTTGTAGCTCCGAGCCCCACCCTTGCCATCTCGAATTTATATAGATGATACATAGATGAATCGTTTTCTGCGTTCAGTGATGATGCATCTGATACAAGTAGCATAGATGAACATTGTTAGCGGCTTCCATGGTGGTGTTGTTCATTGATATTTTCAAGAATACCTGAATCTCTTCCTGACTGATGGACACTCTTTGAGGCTAGCTGAATCTCTTCTTGACTGATGGACACTATTTGAGGCTAGCTGAATCTCTTCCTGACTGATGGACACTCTTTGAGGCTGGCTGAATCTCTTCCTGTGTGGGACCTTACAAAGCGATCTTTTCAAGACTACCTTACAAATTGAGCTTTTCCTATAATCGTTTCAATACTACCTTATGCTTTACAAGCCTGGCTACATACCACCTACAAGTACTAAAGCCAAGGGTGCACGCGAGTGCGTTATTTGCAAGCACACAGAACGATGAAGCAGGAAACGAAAATCTATCTGTAGCTGGTGCAAGGAGAGCAAAGTCGTGCTGTGTACCATGGACTACTTCGTTGACTATTACGCACTTCCAAAGCACTGAGTGTGTAATACAGCGTGTTACTGTGTAAATAGTATGTGAAACTGTACATATTGTAATTTTAGTGAATTTTTACCACGTAATATTGTGACAATAAACATTTATTGTGGACACATTACTGACACATGTATCACAGTTCCATGGAAAATTATGAACATTCTACTGTATACATATTGTAAAGGTCACAAGTATGCATCATATACGATAAAAGAAACAAATAAAACCGCATTGGAAATGCAAAGAAAAAATATTTGAAAATATATTTGTGGCAACACGCGGTGCTTGAATGGCCTGCGCGACCGTGTCTGGGAGCTTCACACACGGGCGACCAGGCCCTGATGACGTCACAGCGCACCTTGTCCACAACCTCACAGCCAAAGTAAGTGGAATTTGATAATTATTTTCACATAGACATGTTCAGGGATGGTAATTTATCATTTTGTAAAGAAAAATGATATTTTGGGGAACATTTGATGTCATGCACACTGGGGAAATTTCACAATAAACACAGTGCATCACACTGTAAGTATTTACATGTTTTGTTCACCATAACTGTACATCTAAGCTTGTATGGTGAGTAAAGGCCCAAAGACGTATCTACTCACACAGTCAGCTGGTGGCGGCCGCCCTCAAGGCCAGATGCACTAATATTTCTCCTCCAACAACACTGTTTGTGGTGTTATAATGCTATATACACACATTATATATAAGTATCTACCTGTTTTATTCACCATACCTGTACAAATAAGCTGGTATGGGGGCCAAAGACCATAGTGGCCACCAGTAAACAACATGACAAGTCGTGCAGATAACGCACCTCCCTCACCAAAATGACGGCTCCCAACCTACTCTTATTGCTGTTATTATACTCTATACACACATTATATATAAGTATCTACATTTGTGTTCACCATAGCGAACCACTAAGCTGGTATGGTGAGTGCAGTAAATAAAAGGTGGCCACACAGAGTCAGAAGACAACGCCACCACCCTCCCTCCCACAGCTTTACTCCTCCCTCCATGGAGCACAGCACTAAATATCACCACAATCCTGCTATTATCAGAATCCTGGTCAGTTTTATCACAGTCAGGGGTCTTCTGTAATACAATCATCGCTAAATAATAGCATGAACATCATTATTATGGCATTTGTGGGTGATGCTGTGGTCACAAGCTGAACAGCGGTGCTGTGAGCTCATGCTGCATGCATCAGCCTTGGTGGCTCGCTCAATACTGAAGCTCTCACACCCAAGAATGTTGGCCTGAGATTTTTTTCTAGTAAGCATCTGGCAACTATCGGTCGTGGCTGCACTATAGCTGCCCCTATCCCAGGCGGGGCGTTTAAATTATAGCGCTAGACACGAAATCATATATAATATGACATGCGCAGTTTCGGTTTTGTGACTGAAAGCATATATATATATGATTTGCGCAGTTTACGGGCTAAAGGGTTAAGTAATGGTTACATTCAATTTTGTCATGGATTCAATTTATATAGAACTGGTGACAGGTTGCATATTCATTAATAAAAACCCACAATAACTTCCAGAATTCTTAAACAAATAATTAAAGGCTACAACATGTAATTAGGTCTTTTGAAAATTTCCGTTTGTCACAGTGCTTTGAGATTGACCAGAGGTAGGAGAGATGATGTAAACAAGCCAAAAATCTAAAAAATGCATTATACATACGTGAGATGATAACCAAGCCCAAACTTGTTTTTAAGGAAAAGAGATGAACCACAGCACCGAAGTCTGCCATGTGATAAAATTGCCTTCCTATCAGCCAAAATATCAGCTTCATCCATGAAATGAGTTGTCAGCAAAATCACCTGTTAAAAATAATTTATATGAAGTGAACACTTTAAATAATATACTATGAATTAAGCACAGGAAAAATGTAAATACAGTGGACCCTATTCGGCGCACCTCCGGTTAGGATGCACACTTTTCAGACCGGATCTACTCACCTGATTCAACAAACTATGGTTCGCTGAAGTGGGGTATGGGCGGATTTGCTTTGAGGGACAGGATAAAGGATAGAGGGACAGAATTTAGAGACTGATGGAAAAGTTGCCCCATCATATTATAGGTTCAAATTAATTAACCCCCTTTGTGAAATCAGCCCATAGAGCATATGCAATATAAGGCTGTCAAGTTAGACATACTGTCAAGCTTGATAGACTGTAAGGCTAGACATATTTCCAGGCTTAACAGACTGTCAGACTTGACATGCTGTCAGGCTAGACAAACTGGTTCTAGACAAACCACATATTGTCAGTCTAGGTATTGTCAATCTAGACAGATTATCATGCTAGACAAACTGGGTGTAGATAAACTGGGTCTAAACAGAATGTCAGGCTGCAGATTGTCAGGCTAGACAGATTGTCAGGCTAGACAGATTGTCAGGCTAGACAGATTGTCAGGCTAGACAGAATGTCAAGCTAGGCGTGCTGTCAGACTTGACATGTTATTAGGCTAAACAAGCTGTCAGGATGTAATATACAGGCTGCACAGAGTCTGCCACAGACTGCAAGATTAGACAGCACTGGACAGACATCCAGACTAAACAGAGAGCACTGGACAGACATCCAGACTAAACAGAGAGCACTGGACAGACATCCAGACTAAACAGAGAGCACTGGACAGACAGCCAGACTAAACAGAGAGCACTGGACAGACAGCCAGACTAAACAGAGAGCACTGGACAGACAGCCAGACTAAACAGAGAGCACTGGACAGACATCCAGACTAAACAGAGAGCACTGGACAGACAGCCAGACTAAACAGAGAGCACTGGACAGACAGCCAGACTAAACAGAGAACACTGGACAGACAGCCAGACTAAACAGAGAACACTGGACAGACAGCCAGACTAAACAGAGAACACTGGACAGACAGCCAGACTAAACAGAGAACACTGGACAGACAGCCAGACTAAACAGAGAGCACTGGACAGACAACCAAACTAAACAGAGAGCACTGGACAGACAACCAAACTAAACAGAGAGCACTGGACAGACAACCAAACTAAACAGAGAGCACTGGACAGACAACCAAACTAAACAGAGAGCACTGGACAGACAACCAAACTAAACAGAGAGCACTGGACAGACAACCAAACTAAACAGAGAACACTGGACAGACAACCAAACTAAACAGAGAACACTGGACAGACAGCCAGACTAAACAGAGAACACTGGACAGACAACCAAACTAAACAGAGAGCACTGGACAGACAACCAAACTAAACAGAGAGCACTGGACAGACAACCAAACTAAACAGAGAGCACTGGACAGACAACCAAACTAAACAGAGAACACTGGACAGACAGCCAGACTAAACAGAGAGCACTGGACAGACAACCAAACTAAACAGAGAACACTGGACAGACAGCCAGACTAAACAGAGAGCACTGGACAGACAGCCAGACACCCAGAGTAGACAAAGAGGATTGGAAAGACAGCCAGACTAGACAGAGAGCATTTGACAGACATGATCACACATCCCCTTCCTGTTCAGCCCCTCGCCTCTCCCCTTATCCAGCTCACCCTACTAGCTGTAGGATGATGTAACATCATGTCTTTAACCCTTGTGTTGCTAAGGGCTATTTAGCCATTGTCACTATAGAGTGACACTGGCTAAATAGCCCTAAATACTGTATTGTTATTTTGTATTGGTTTTGTTATTACTAGTGCATAACAAAAACAAAAAATTTTCTTCCTAACCTGTTAATTTATGTTCCCTGACCAGAAAAGAAAAAAAAATTAATTGTACTTACCAATGACGTAAATGACCCGATAATATGAGTGATTACGTCACACCCTGCATGCTTGCTCATGCAAGGTGCATCCCGGAGGCATTGTGCACGGTCTTCATGCAGCAAGAGTTGCCACGAATTTATTTTTGCGGCATTATTTACAGTGTCTAGGTGTATTTTATCACAATTTTTATTCACTAATTGTGTTGCATATAATGTTACTTCATGTCCAATGATAATAAAAGTTGCATACATTGAGTATACACATGAGCACACAAATGTTTTCAATTACGCCAAAATAATATGTATTCACATTGTTCATTATTATATTTACACACATCCATGCACTATTTACAGGATTTTGCACTATTATTGCACATTTAGAAGTCTTGGAGAGAGTGGTAGTCATTGAAGCAGTCGATAGCACATTATGGGACTGCACACGCTTCACACCCTGTTTGCACCAGTTTATATTTCTGATCTCTCTTTTTTGTTGTTCAACAAACTAAGCAATCACGTTGGCCTATTGCATGCTTTCCAGCTGGTGGCAAATGTTTTAGTCTGTGTGCTAAAAAGACCTCCATGTGAGCAAGCCTGGGTGTAGCAGCATGCTGCAACACTGGGTTCATGATGGGTCTTTGTATGCCAGAAACATCTTTGCCAAACTTTGTTAGTAACTGTGTCAAGTGTAAAACCAAACGAACGGAAACTTGGTTTACGTCCAGTTTTCACCAGATACATATTGTAGCTGTTCAGCATGCTTATGTCAACAAGATGGAAAAACACTTTTTTCGTCCACTTCAATGTATTCCGCACACACTCGACAGTGCCCACCATCATGTCAGATTTATCAACCAAACACAAAGTTGATATTATAATCAAGAACACAATCTGGCTTATATACTGGTTCTTGCGTTACTCAATTCACCTTGCCATTGTTCACCATTGTACCATCATGAACGGTTGTCAGCAAGTTCACTTCTCTCTTGTCTTTCCACCTAACTGAGAGTATTTGATCACTTTTTCTTAGCTGGCAGTCAGCAACTTCAAGATTATTGTCAAACACTGGCATTTCCCTTCTTCTTGGCTTTACTGTGCCAACCATTCCAGTTCTATGTTCAATCAAGAACTTAGCTAGCAAGGGACTTGTATAGTAGTTATCCATGTATAAAATGTGGCCCGTGTTCATCCATGGTGCCATCAGTGGCACCATGGATGAACACACTACCTGAGAAACCATGTTGGTCGTTACCGGGAATATCTACATCGCTACCAGAATACAGAATCATGTGTAACACGTATCCTGTTTCACAGTCACAAAGAACAAAGAATTTCAATCCAAATCTGCTGCGTTTGGAGGGAATATACTGCTTGAAGGCAACAAGTCCTTTGAAAAGCACAAGGGATTCATCAATCACCAGCTTCTGTGCTGGTACATAGAAATCTCTGTACTTTCCAATCACTTCATTCATAATGTGCCTGACTCTCCAAAGTCTATCATCCTCTGTCCAGTCCTCATTACTTCCAAAATGAAGACACCTGAGGAGTATCTGAAACCTGTCTCAGGACATATATTTCATGAACAAAGGTGTTGGAACAGTCTGGTCTTTGCTCCAATTATCTGTGATAGCGTGTTTGATACAATGTTTCATCAACATACTTAGTGCCAAAAATACATACATTTCACCTACATTGGTGTTTTTCCAACGCTGCAATCATGAATATTCTGTTATCTCTCTTCCAGTGAGATGAGCAGCATGAAGGTTCGTTTGGTGTACAATATATTCCATGAGTGGCTCATCATAAAATGCTGTAAAATAATCCATTTCACACATGTCCTCACCATTATCAGGGAAAAGTTCTGTAATCCAAACATCTTTATTGTCAAAGAAGCTTCTTCTAAGAAGCTTTTTAAGGTCAGGATTGACATTACAATTCAGAGTTTTAAATATACAGTAAAGAGAACACATGAGAGGATGTGCAGTGACTTAATATCTAACATATTTAGAGATTTGAGTAAGGGTACCGAGTGCTGTCTGGGGCCAGAGTTAGATATTGTTCTAATAGAAGCTTTGTGTTGGGTAATTAGAGGATGTAAATGATTTTGGGAAGTAGAACCCCAAGCACAAATACCATAGTTGAGATCAGGATAGATGAAAGAGTAATAGACCGCCACCAGGGCAGGGCGAGGTACATAATATCTGATCTTAGAAAGAATGCCAACAGTTTAAGAAACTTTTTTTCCTATATTTAGAATGTGTCCCTGGAAATTCAGCTTGCTATCGATAAGGACACCAAGGAACTTACCATTAACTTTACTACTGATTTGTATATTGTTTATTCTTAGATTAATTTAATTTGAGGATTTATTACCAAACAAAATACAGTGGTACCTCGGAACACGAGTGTCCCTGTATGCGAGTTTTTCGGAATACGAGTAGAATTTCCTCGGAAAATTTGTCTCGGAAGGCGAGGGTTACCCCGGAACACGAGTTTGTTGATACGTATACAGGCCAACTAGCACGTGGTGGCACGGCGATTGCGCCTCAGTTTACCAGTGTCTCGTGCCCAGTGACTATCCCACCTGAATTCTTCACAAAGATTTACAGTTTTTTGTCATTTTTTTGGTCATTTGAGCATAAAAGTTGTCATTATATATCTCGCCATGGGTCTCAAGAAAGCCATTGGTAATGTTCAACCTAAGAAAATAGCTGTGAGTAGAGGCAGTAGAGGATGTCCCTTCTTGATTAAGAAAATGTGTGAAGTATGGGAAGAACTGCAAAGTTTTGTTGAAAAAACTCACCCAGATAAAGCTGTAGCAGGCCGTTGCATTGACCTTTTAAATGATAATGTGATGTCTTACTACAGACAAGTGTTAAAATGTAGGGAGAGACACGTGTCTTTAGACAAATTCTTAGTAAGACAAGCAAGTCCTAGTGGCATGCAGGCAAAATGTGCCAGAGTGTGCATACCAGTGAAGTCCTCACTGCCTGATGTGATAATGGAAGGGGACTCCCCTTCCAAACAGTAACTCCTCTCCTCCTCCCCCCTCCTCACCATCTTCCATAAGC